ACTATCTGTACTTGGTACAATCTCAAAGGCAATACACTCTTTGTGAACTGAACTGTGAGAACACTGTAAAAAGAGTTAACATGCACATTTTTGCTTAAAGAGCTATTTCTACTTGATTTAACCAATAAAAATGTTTTGTTGGTATAAATTAATGTATTTAGATTAATTTAGTGACTTTGAATATTCAGTTTTTACCATTTTTTGATTACCTAAACGTCATGGTAGCGCTATTCCATTCACTTTTGCATTCTGTTCTTAGAAATTTCTTGAACTACTATACAAGATTACAGGATCCGTTTAGCCATCTCATATGAACAAAAAAAATTAAACAGGTGATATCCAGGACAAAACTATTTTTGAAACACACCCTGCAAAGTCTCAGCTCTGCACAACTAAGAACAAGGTGCAGTGTTCTTGTACTATTGTTTCTTCAGGATCAAACTCGATTTGTTGCGATTTTTGCCATTTTTTTCTTTGAAGGAGATTTTAGCATGCAGAAAAAGAAAGGGTAAAGGGAAAATAAATGAGATCAGACAAACACAGGACTCACTCTCCCACTGAGTCTATGAAACAAGTCAGTGAAGGGCCGTATTAAGGACAAACATCTGACTTAAATTTCCTGCTCTTCCAAACAGTTCCATGTGATCTGGTTACCTTACAGAATCTCTCTTCTGATGACATTTTTCTTTAAAATTATTTGTCTAATTTTGACTGATTTGCTAAGCTCCACTCCAGAATGCCAAATAAGATTCACTTAATGTGAATTCTGAAATTTTCTATAAAATCTGCTCATAAAGTGATATAAATAAATGTTTTAACGTTTTAAATTTAACATTGAATAACAAAAGTTAAAATTATAATCAAGTCAGCACGTCAACATTCTTTAAAGCACACACACACACACACACACACACACACACACACACACACACAAAGAAAGATTTAAAATGTACTTTAAAGTAAAACATTATTTGGTAACACTTTATTTTAAGGGGTCCTTGTTACACGTTACATGTACTTACTATTATAATAATTAATAACAATTAATTAGGCATAATTACATGCAAGTAACCCTAAGCCAAACCCTAATCCTAACCCTAACCTTATAATAAGTACATGCAGTTAATTCATATTACTTAGTACTTAAATGCACAGTTACTCTGTAACAAGGACACCTTAAAATAAAGTGTAACCCATTATTTTGACACTATTAGAAAACACACTTAAAGTTGTACTTAAGTGTGCTAAGAAACATAGTAATGAAAGCGTACTCTGGCCTTTTATTTCATTAATAATATATTATCTGCAAGCACAGGTTTGTAAAAATGTACTATTAAGATTTTTTGAAGTACATTGCAAGTGCACATTCAATACAATTAAGCACACTTCTTTTTCACAAGGGATATGGGTTTGTAATGACATAATAATAATAATAATAATAATAATAACATTTTCAAACTATTTCTTTAACAACTACATTCATTTCAGACCATCCTAATATGCATTCTCCTGTTTAATTCATCATCTAAACACATCTGATGTAGTTTTGAGTCTCAATGGTCACACATCTAGTAATCTGAAAAGGCAAATGTTAAAGATTGATGGCAGTGAATATAACCACACTGCATATGAAACACAAGCTGGATGGCTGGTTAATAGCTTAAGCTTTGAGATGACAGAAGTGTTTGGTGTTTGCCGTCATTGGTCCATCTGTTGCTGTGATGATTGTTGTGATGACTTCCCAAACTCCACACCTGCATCCTATTGAATATCATCTATAATCACTTTATTTCTACAACTGATTTTATCAGTGTTAAATATCACAGCTACTAATAAATCGACACAACAGGGCTTGTTTGATAAAACAGACATATAATTGCATACAGTAGCAGATCTGGTAGGGGTCCAAAGTTGCATAGATCAGGATCACTCCATAAATGAGAAAGAAAGATAAAGGGGATGGGTGAAGGAGTTGGGAGTGTGTGATTAGAATGTAGAGAGGTGAAGAGTGAGAGATGGAAAGGTGCAGAAAATAGCTCCACAATATTCTCAGAGACCAAACAGAGGGTCTGTTATCAGGACGCATGGAAAACATCCTCAACACAATCCCCTAGACTGACAGAGAGGTGGAGAGGGACTGAGGGCAAGATTTAGGGTCAAAGTATATGGTATTAATTAAATAAGTGGAGAGAGAGATATATTTCTTGAAAGACTTACAACCTTGAAGTTTCCTTCCCGATTGGACACTGAATATATACATTGGATTAAAAATTGACATGGATTTCAGCATTTCTTAGTATATCCCTTCTTTATAATGTCACGTGCGTTGAAGCCACATGATCCAAGCTAAACAAAACTGTTATGCTTAAACAATGACAGTGGACTAAGAAAAATAAATTTAATTCAAGATATATTCTATGAAAATAAGTCTTAATATCATCAGACAATTTCGCTTTTCAAGCATGTTTTTTAGGAATAGATCTTTTTTTTTGTGATATTTTCTATTAGAAAACAAGACAAAAAAGTCATAAAATATATATTTTTTAATTGTTGTAATAGATTAAAATCTTTTTATATATTATTTCAGAATGAATGTAATTATCACAAATCTAAATGAGGCCTTAAAAGGACACTGGACTGAAGTGTTAAGAGGGAATGTATATGTGTGTGTGTGTGTGTGTGATTATGCGCAGATGGGCTTTATCTTATGTGCTGGTGTTTTCAGATTTGCTCTATTGTATTTATAGCTCATCTTAATAGAAAAAGCCTGCCCAAACCCTACGCTCCAATTAGTCACCCCATAGGTGGAGTAATTTAATCAGGAGAGCATTCAGCTCCAGCCGAGAGCCTCCATGCTCAGTCTGGCCAGACTCTTCACACAGATAGAGAGCTCTTCTGCTGAGGTAAGAACCACAGGCGCTTGTGTCAATACATTACTAACACCAAATCACACTCGTGAGCAGTGATACAACTACCATCCATCACTAAACCTGTGTTCTCTGTCAGAATCACTCAAATTTGTGCTAGTATCTGTCATGTCAATGCCTCTGTCGTCACGTCTGCTAAATATGTCACTCCTCTAGACAAAAAAAAGCATTAAAAAAATCAAAAATACAGTCAAAATAGTAATGTTGTGAAATATTATTACAACTTAAAATAACTGTTTTCTATTTGAATTAATGTAATTTATTAATTTTCAATAGTTATTTCTTCAGTCTTCAGTGTCAACAGTCAAAATAGTAATGTTGTGAAATATTATTACAACTTAAAATAACTTTTTTCTATTTGAATTAATGTAATTTATTAATTTTCAATAGTTATTTCTTCAGTCTTCATGATCCTTCAGAATATGATCATTCTAATATACTCATTTGTTATTTAAGAAAAATGTCTTATTATTATCAATGGTGAAAACAGTTGTGCTGCATGATATTTTTGCGGAAACATGATACTATTTTTTTCCCAAGATTCTTCAATGAATAGAAAGATCAAATGAACAGTATTTTTTAAATGGAAACCTTTTGTAACATTATAAATGTCTTTACTGTCACTTTTAATCAATTTGATGGATCAATTAATAAATAAAACTATTAATTAAAAAATGTAAATTTGAGAAAGTTGAATCTACTAACAAACGTCTGCAACAGTAAAGACTTCGTCTCACAGTGGCTTGGTATTGTGATAACAGATTACCATAGCCATTGTCTGTGACACCCCAAAGACTATGACAGCTATAAATCTCTCTTAAAACATTTATGGAGAAGATAAAAGGCACGGTGGGCATTTATAGAGTCATGATGGGTGGTCAGACTCTTGCCTCAATCTCTTCATGGATATGGATTGAGCTGGAGCAGGAATGGGGGTGTGAAGGTTGTGTGTGGGGCGCGAACACAAGGTCTTAATCTCAGGAGGCTGGCTTCTCTTTTTAGTGTCGTCTAAAAGCTTTCCATTTATCTTTCCGACCTCTGCTATACTTTAAATTAGCATTGTTTGTGTTATGACACCCGCAAATGTCTCCAAACAGGGCTGAGGATTATAAAAAGAGAGATTATGGAAATACCAAATCATGCCCAAGAGAGATCTTGTTAGAGGAGATCAGTTTAGATCAAGTGTGCTGGTGACAAAATTGCAAAAACAAAAGAGTATTAGCTTAAAAGAAGGTTTTACAAACTGTCAAGAATGATTCAGTTGACATACAGGATAACTTTGACATTTAGGCTTTAACATACATGCTTATCCCTCTTAATTCTTCAGCTGAATTATTGCCGCTACCACCAAACTTGCTTGAATGAATGTAGTCTTGTCAGATTTTACAGGGTAGTTGCAGGCAATCATAGTGAGGGTTCTATATTTACTGGATTGAAGTGGAGACTGTTTTAAAAAGGGCACTAAAGACAAACAAGATTAGAATAACAAGATTTCCTTTGACAACATAAGAGGAAACAGACGAGTGAACTATGAAAGTAAAGCCAAGTATCATTATTTAGATCTATTGCACGATATTTTATGAATCAAAAAAAGTTTTCTCTCCAAACAATGTTTTCTTTTGCTTGCTTTAGCACATCCGTGTCCTACATTTAGATATGTCTAATGCAAAGTTGTAAGTACTGTACATTTCCAAAAACAGCTCTGGATTTGGAGGCTTACAGAAGTGGTTCTCAACCAAAGGGCAAGGCAAGATTTTGTCTAGTTCAGTACGATGGGAGCAAAAGTGCTAAAAAAGAAAAAATTACATTAGTATTTAGTCACACAATATTCAACAGACTAATTATTCAAAAAAAATATCTTGACCAGTCATGGTCAGGCTTGTGCTTAGAGCCATGAACAACCTATTTCCACAAGAAATTATGGTCAGAATAACCTGCCGTATGCTATTCTGATAGTGTGAAAAGACGTAGAAGGAAACTAATGGAAAGAATTTAGATGTCTTGCCAGTTGGATGGAGAAAGGGAGAAAGCCTGAAGAAGCGAGACAGCAGAAAAGGGCAAGACAAACAGGAAGCAGGAGAGGGGGGAGTGAAGGACTGACTGTGCAAGTCAAAGAATTTTCTTAGAAGGATTTTAAGCAAGAGAGCCGCTTCTCCTGGTTTCCATCTGCTGCCTTTTATGGTAAAACAAGTCGAGGGGGATTTGGTGTAGCTAGTAGTGAAGCCCAGACTGGACAAGGGCTCAGTTAGACACACTCACAACAGGATAGCAGGGGGCTAAGGAGCAGGGAGAGAGCGTGTGTGGGACACTGGGGACGCTTGAGACGGCGGCACACAGCATCACAGGGCTCATGGGAACAATACGCAGAGAGACTTAACAGGTCCAGGACTCAGACAGACCAGTGAGTAGATGACTTGAATAATTTAGAAGAAATCACAATCTCTCGTTCAATAAAATTCACATACGATACACACTGGACACCAACGTTTCTTTGAATGATTTGCTTTCAGGTCAGTTTTAAAATCAGACCAAAGTTATAACAATAGAATAATGTGGCCTATTACAGGAAAGATGGAATATTCTCAGAAACAAGTCCATTCATAGTGATGTTTATAGGTAATTGCATCCATGGCAGCAGAGGCACATTTACGTACACATGCTGATACACAATATAATGGCTGACAGCTGGAGGTGAGATAACAGGCTGGTTACGATACTATGATGTACTACGCTGTGGAATTCCAGTGTGCTCCATCCAGCACTGAGAATGACTGATCGTTGCCACCCATGCAGAGAGTGAATCTGACTGATGCTTGAGGTTCTGATGTTATGGTTAGCAACATCTGATATCTCGTTAAACACTAAGACATATTTACTGTATGTACCCTCATCTCAAAACATTTCTTTCTATTCAAAAATTTCTTTCTGAATTTTTGTAAAACCATTATCATATAAATTTAATCCATACAATCCGATGAGGAGTTTAATGTAAAAATGTTGCAAAATGTATGAAATGGGCTCAATAATTTTCTCAATTGGATTATTATCATAACAAATTTGAGTTACATGTTGAATGGGAAATTTATTTATTTACTATAATTAACCAAAACTAAAACCATAGAAATTAAAATAAACATTAACTGAAATAAAATAAAATATTTAAAAACATATTTTATTTCAGGCCATATTTCTCATTTTTGTTGAATTTAAGTTGAAGTACTAAAATAACAAACAAAAAAAACTAAAACTAAACGTAAAACTTAATTCAAACTACATAGAGATACTTTTAAAAATTAAAAACTACATATAAAAATGACAAAAATGCTAGAACTTTAAAATGAAAATAAAAACCGAAAATATAAATAAATCTAATTCAAAATATTAATAGAAACTAAAACAGCATATCAATGAAAATAAAATAACACTGCTTTAATGATGCATGAATTCCAGATGATCATGTTCTCCAGCATGATTTGAGCTGATCCAAAGAGCATCTTGAGCTTCAAGCAAGAACATCTGGAAATAATTTCACAATCATTGCATAAGTGACCTAAAAATAGTGAGGAATATGTATTTCTATATAAATGTATTAAAAATGTAAAAATATTCAGTTTATTTACAGGTTACAAGACAGTGGTATCTTAAAAATAGAAATCTGAATATCTCACAACATAATAGTTAATTATGGTTTGAGCCTAATAAATATAAACAAAAATTGCAATCATCTTCTCAGAGGTTCTAGTATTTTGGCACATCCCCTCATACTCATACTCTCTATCACAGGACTGAAAGGCAGAAGTAAAGATGACAGAGCGTTATGACTGCCACTACTGTAAGGAGTCTCTGTTTGGGAAGAAGTATGTTCTTCGTGAGGAAAACCCATACTGTGTGAAGTGCTATGAGAGCCTGTACTCCAACACCTGTGAGGAGTGCAAGAAACCCATCGGCTGCAACAGCAGGGTAACATCACTTAACCCATTTGCAGTGCCATATATGAAGTTACATAAAACCAGCCAATCAGATTAAAGCTTGCAGATCTGGAAAGTGCATCAGATGGTCATCAAACAAACTTCGGGTGGTCCATAGGTACTTTTCAATCTCTAATTCAACCAGAATTGTCATCAAAGCATGTCGTTTGCTGCTTTAGGATCTGTCCTACAAGGACCATCACTGGCACGAGGACTGTTTCCACTGCTTCCAGTGCAAGCGCTCACTGGTGGACAAGCCTTTCTCCACTAAAGACGAGCAGCTGCTGTGCACCGAGTGCTATTCTAATGAGTACTCCTCCAAATGCCATGAGTGTAAGAAGACCATCATGCCTGGTAAGACATTCTTCCCTGTGGGAGGAACCATTACCTAAATATCAGTAGAAGTGCTTTTTTTTTTTATACTCATGCACTCCCATAAAAACATAATTATTCATTTAGCGACACATTCTTTCCATTAAAGCGAAAGAAAACTGCTTCCTTTCACACAGAGTCAATCTTTGCCCAGATCTTGTGAAGAAAGAATAACTGTCATTAGACAGATATATTACAGGCTCATCATGACGTCAAAGCAGTACATTAAGTGATCTGCTTAACTGGTAATAAATATTAATTCATAAATCTTCAAAGACAATTCGTCATGACCATGTAAAAATGTCACACTCTTATTAACTCATCATGTTATATGATCAACCACCCCTTTTATAATATCGTTCAATCAAAATGAATAGATGGATCCAAGGTTAGATTTATTATTTGTGTAGATTAAAGCTGTTTTGGGTGTTTAATTGATGTGATTCAGTTTGTGCTCACCGTCCTGTGGAATGTTCCAGCACTCACTGAGTGAAACGTACAATATTTCAAATCTGGAGCATATGGACTTAAAAGATATGAGCCAGAGTCTTTAACACAATGAAACTCTGTGCTGTCTCTGTTTACACCACTGCTGGCAGTTTGAGCCATGGCTGGTGTTTATTGAGCTTTCGTCTGGATGTGATAAAAAATAATTATACTTTGTCTTCTTAACAGCTACACTTTCCTGCTGCATTACAGATAAAATGGGGAGTACTGTAAACCTGATAACAATTATCCATCATCTGTAACTGATAAGACTATACAATCAATATATTATGCTGTAATGATTAATTATATAGAATTTGGGTTACACTTTATTTTAAGGCGCCCTTGTTACAGTGTAATTATACTTATAAGGAATATCAATTAACTATATGTACTTACTATATGGTTAGGGTTAGGATTAGGGTTTGGCTTAGGGTTACTTGCATGTAATTATGCATAATTAATTGTTATTATGATAGTAAGTACATGTAACATGTGTAGCAAGGACACCTTAAAATAAAGTGTTACCAGAATTTGTTCATACAGAATTTGGTATAAACTAAAAAATAAACAAAAAAATT